GAGGGAGCGGACGAGCGAGTGAGGGAGCGGACGAGCGAGTGAGGGAGCGGACGAGCGAGTGAGGGAGCGGACGAGCGAGTGAGGGAGCGGACGAGCGAGTGAGAGAGCGGACGAGCCAGAGAGAGAGCGGACGAGCCAGTGAGAGAGCGGACGAGCCAGTGAGAGAGCGGACGAGCCAGTGAGAGAGCGGACGAGCCAGTGAGAGAGCGCGCTGCCAGGAGCTGTCCCCGTCCCTGTCCCCCTCCCCCCAGAGCTATCAAAGGTGTGAAGGAGCAGGGAGGGAAGGAGGTAAGAGACACGGGGGGGTGGGGGTGGGGCCGTGGATGTTCCTCGAGCCGTGTCTCGCGGTGGCGACGTTGACTTAGCGGAGGTGAGCCCCCCCCATGGGGTGGTTGGGCCCCTGGTGTGCCCTCCCCTGACCCCAGGGGTGCCCTGCCTCTGTCCCCCCCCCCAGCGGCCATGGGGCCATCCTTTTCCCAGCACGATTCGCCAGAGGTCGGGGGAGGGGGGCAGGAAGCTAGGAGGCTGGTCTAAGCCAAGCCCTGACCTCCCTGCTCTGCCCTTAGCTGCTGGCCCTCTGCTGCCTAAGCGCAGCTGGCCCTTCAGAAGAGAGGAAGGGGAGGCAGGAACGTGGGCAGCGAGTCTGTGCTCCCTTATTACACAGCAGCCAGTGGGTGTGCTGTGGGCATGTTCAACACATCCATGGGGGAGCTGCAGAAGCACTTGTACAAAGGGGAATACTATGCCTTCAAGTACGCCCCCATGTTCGAGAGCGACTTCATCCAGGTGCTTCCCATGGAAAGCATCCCCCCCCCCGCCCCCCGCCGTCCCGCCGCCCTAGCTCTGGCCCCAAGCTTGTCTCCTTCCCAGGCTCCCCGTGCCGCGCTAGGCCGCTCACCGGCTCCCAGTTTGATGGGTGGGCAGGCGGCCACAGCAGCAGCATTTGGGGTCTGAGTGAGACAGGTCCATGAATGCCAGATCTGCCCGGGGGTTGAATAACAAGACTTGGTGGAGCAGGACGTGTTGGGGTCTGAGAGGATTCCACTTGAGAATGGGGTGGGGAGGGAAGAGAGGCCTCAGATACCAACCAGCCGTGAGGTAGGTTTGAACCTGGCGAGGGATTGATCATCCATGAGTCTTAGATAGTGTCCGTCTGCCTCCAGTCCATCCAGAGGAGGGGGAGAGCTCTATGGAAGTGGGCACCTGGTCTCTCCCTGCCACGTTTCCCTTCATTTTCCTCCCCCTTCCCCACTGCAGATCAGCAAGAGAGGGGAAATGATTGGCATACATAACCAGGCATGCATGGTGACCGTGGGCATTGCATCCACCAGCCCGATTATGCCTTTGCCCAATGTCATGCTGTTAGCCCGGCACGTGGCGTATGTTGAGGATCAGCCCCGTCCAGAGGCCAGCTCCAGGAGCAACATGCAGCACCCCCACTCTTCAAAGACCCTGGAGTTGACCAGGTGAGCCAGCCATCGCACTTGGCCTGTCCCTTACCGCAACAGCATTTCAACCTCCTGGTTTTCAACTTGGATGAGCTCTAACCATTCAGCTCAGATAACCATCCTACGAAACATGCCAGCCAACATGATCTTAACAAAGTCACTTAGAGAGTAACTGGACTTAGGTCAAGGAACAAGGGTTCAAAATCCATGGACTTCTGAAGAGAACCCCCATTTCCATCTCTCTCTCTCACACCTGGAAAATGAGGTGTCAGCTCCAAGCAGAGCCTGCACCCCCAGTGTGACAAATGGATGACCAGGCCACTCAAAGTCTCAGGCAGCCAGTGCAGCTGAGGGGGAATTGATGGGGAGGGTGGGGGTTGGAGGAGAAGGAGGGAGGACTGTGGAACGTACTTACTTCCCTCGGTGGGATGGGCTACAGGCTACTCCCCCTGGAGTTTGTGAAGATTTCTGTCCATGACCGTGAGAAGCAGCAGCTTCGGCTGAAACTGGCCAGTGGGAGATCATTCTACTTACAGCTCTGCCCACCCTCCAATGCCATGGAAGACATCTTCTCCTACTGGGAGAAGCTCATCTACCTCCTTCGGCCACCTGCCGAGGGCTACGGCAGCACCCATGCCATCCCTGCTGGGGATGGGGTCGAGGTGCCTGTTTTCATAGCCAAAGAGAAATTTCCTATGAGTCGAGCCACAGAAGGACCCAATTTGGGCCTGCGTGCCTCTGAGGGCCTCATCACTCTGCTATATTCTCTAATCACCTATGCTAGAAAATGGGGGTGAGGGGGAAATGATGAACGATTTGATGAAGTGTTCTAGGCCCAACCCTTTCAGCAATGACAGGCCTCTGCCCTAGGGTCCACAGGCTAGAAGGAAGGAGGCCTTGATTGCCAACCCCAATCCTGGCTAGGAAAATGGGGGGATTGGCAAAGATGTGCCTTCTTTTAGGAATCAGTCCCCCCACCCCACCCTATGCACGCTCACAACACACTAGAACAGACACACGTGTTCCATGTCCTGGAATTCCCTGGGGCTTCCTCAGTTTCCTTCTCCAATCTAATGGGGTAGGAGGATGGCTCCTGACCCTAGGATGTTTATGACCTGACCTTACCCCAGGCCCGCCTTTTACGATCTTTCCTCTTCTGCCCCTCGCACTATGGGCCCCAGTCCTGGGAGCCTATTCTGCACAGTGAAGGGGAGCAGGATAAAGTAAGTATCAAGAGTCTTCATGTGTTGTCTGACATTCCTGGCCAGGACAAGATGGCAGTAAAGCCAGAAATAATCATGGCGGCTGCAGCCGGGAAGGGCTTCCCTAGCACAGGAGGCATAGAGAAGGACCTGCTGCCCCATCACTATACCATCCAAGGGGTGCCCAGTGTGTCCCCTCCCAGTACACCATCTGTCCCAAGCATTGTAGTAGCAGCTGCTGCCAGCAGAGGTCCTGCCAGTAAGGCCATGGCTGGGGCCCCCCCGGGGATGGGGACAGCCACAGCAGGCAGCCAGGGGCCTGGCGTAAGTGTAGCCCCGGCTGGGACTGCAACTGGGCAGGTAACAGAGACCGTGTCTGCCAGCAGTGTTAGTCTAATGCTGGCTGGCGCTGCCAGCATGTCACCAGACT